GGCTTTAACTCTACAGGAATGTGTTTCTAAAATCAAATAAAGGTTTTTATCAAACTATGTATACTTATACAGCTGTAATTGGTGATAAGTCTCACCACTGTACGATTTAATGCCCAGTAGTAAAGTCGGTTTACCTTGATAATTAATTCCCCACTGCTAGGATGTCCTTTCATTTTGATAATCTTTGTAGGATCAGGCCAATCAAGGAATTTTTCTCTAAACAGAATCGTTTCGGCTTTTTCGTGCAGCCTTGCAAATAGAGCCCATGGGGGTCGTGCTGGGGAAGTCTTGTTATCGTCGTTATTGGGCAGTGTTTCTTGTCCTTTACCGTACGGGTAAAGTGGATTGTAAATTCCATTAGGTTCAAATGGACTTTCAAAAAGCTGTTTCCCAAGGGCGAAGACCGTTTTTCTTTGACCCGATAATGAATGCTGGCCATTCCAGACGTATAACTCCGAGCCAAAATCGAAAACTAACACCTGATAAAACAATGAAATGACAAATAATTTATGAAAACTGCCACTTGACTATTTGAGAGGAATTGGGCTTTTGGCTTTTAGGGTACCGACTATGACAGAGGGAGGGAGATATGGGGATATAATGGATGGGTTTACAAGCGTGATCTTATTAATTTATTACGAGATAGCATTGCCGGTAAAAACTGTTAAGGACAAAAGACTGACTTCACTCTATAAGAATTCAATGGCAAACGGTACCTCTTTTGTATCTAGTATGGAGACTTGTGGCAGACGTCCACACATTGACTCTACTGGAACTAATGACGGAGGCTCAGTCCAGTGAACTTTGTACACCATGTTGGTCCTGATCATTCCCTTCTCATACTCCTCGTCAACAGGCATTGAATCAGCAGCTGCAACAATGAATACRYGCGTGAAACAAAACTTAAGATTCTTCGCAAAAACAGACATGACRTCATCAGTGGAAAGAACCAATGGGAACACTCGATTCTCATACCTCGGATGTCGTCTCCAGGATCACCATTGAGAACATTCCAGAACTTGTTTGAGCCTTTCAATTTTTCTGGGTCCTTTTCCCTCTCCTCGATGAAMGTAATATCACGAGCCTTGCAGTCCAACTCRCGCTTTGTAAAAATACGAGAAGCGATTTCTGTGACCTGCGTACAGAAACAATATTAATAAACCTAATCCTAATATGATTATAGTAAACAAAAAAACGTACCTTTGCTCTTTCKATAGCGTTAGCATCCTTMCCRACCCAAGCAAACARGTCTTCTTTGGTGACAAGGACAAAACAGTCYCCGGAGTTTAGCGATTTCTGACARGGCTCRATCAAACGTGTCTGCATATTTCTTCTACCTGTACAATGTAATAATAACAAGAGTTTTGAGATATGGAGGTTTTGTACAGTATAGATGTAGGAATTGCTTGGAAAATTCTACTTTTATCAGACGAAACTGCACGAAAACGTGTCGGGCTCCAATGCGCATGACAATGACCTCGCAAGAAGAAATTTAGCAACCAAGGGACTTAAGGAATCTCSATGACGCTCATAAATATGTTAGAAAATCTCGAGATGCTTTTCAGCRGGGGGTCGTTGACACAAAGTGTTATATTCTGATGATATCATAGTATCTTAGTAGACAAAACAAGACCTGATAAAACTGTTAAACATCACCRGCAATACAAACAAACTAATCACTTTGAAACATAACACTAATATATCCAAAGAGAAAAAAATGGACAAGTTATTGAGTCCTTGGTTTAGACACTATAACCCTCACACCTTTGATGTGAAGCATCATTATTGGTTGTGTTCCTCTGTAGTTATCTTGCTCTTTAGCTTTTTCTGGTCCTCCTGTTTTTCTTAAAGTTACTTTGGTGAARTCCTCGGTACTGGCTAAGCCAGCAATGGCTGATGCMGCAAGGTCAAGAGTATGACGACGCCCTAAAAATATGAAACATTTTGARATACAAATCGAGKGGATTATGAGATACTTTGACATTTCAAGAAACATCCCTTTTTCTGTCGATATTCAATATTGTATTAAAAAAGTCTTACAGAGGTTTTCAGGATCTTTGTATTTCTTTTTCTTTCGWCGAATCACAGGGTGTTCACTTGTCACTTGCTTCTTTTCGATTCTTGGAGTACGTGAAGCCTAAAGCCAGGAATTCAATCAGTTAAGAAAACTTGTCTAGATTMTTGCAATCTTATAGTATTTAAACCGTTTTAACAGCATTCGTTGGCGGTGATTACTGCCGCGATACACATMAACTATMACAAACACTGAGTCAATAGTYSACYCTTAAATGCAGAGCAGCTAAAAAYWGAGAAATGAAATATAACKTACTTCTGTATCAGTTCTGACATCTTGTCGTTCTTTCAGGGCTTTGACAGGATTGGACTTGGTAGCGTGCCTTCGTTTAGGTTTAAGATGCATTTTATCCTCGCCAGCAGAACGAAGATGTCTTGAATAAAACAACAAAGTTTAAAACATCGATATATTACATAAAATATACCCAGCAGCGCTCACGAAATTCAAAATAATCCTTAATCAAAGCTGTTTTTCAGTCTCAAACGTTGAGGTTCTGAGGAGTTCAAGTTCTGGCGATGATGGCAAAGGGTAAAGCTAAGGAGACTTGAAATTAAAAAAATCATATCCAAATAAACACGACTAATRATTAATTAATAACACAATCAAATCAAACGGAAAACAGAGAGCCGTGAATCTTATTTGTAACTGTCTCTATACGTCGCAGTTTTCTTAAAATCCAAACACATCACCTAAACTTGTGATTGAAGATTTACTAAATATTCGTTGTTGTGAAACAAAACCATACTTCCATCATTGGTAACGAGATAATAAATATTTCAAATGCAACGTCTACTAGCAGCAGATCTATACAATCAGGATTTATTAAATGTCTCTACTTACTGTGTAGTTTGTGACGAGATCACATCAAGATCTTCTGTTGTAATGGCAACTTTAGCTGCAGAAACCTCTATTTTTTCTTCATTGGTTTTAGTTTCYCCAAAAAACTCTTCAAGACCTTCATCTAAAGCAGTTTTCTTGGCTTGTTTACTTTCTGAAGGCTTCTGACTCACTGAGATTTGTACTGGAGGAATCGTTTTCTTGGCGACGGGAGTRAGTTCAATAATCTTGCTTTTTTTCTGCTCTTGTGACTCACTTTTTTCATCGAGATCGATGTCAACGTGTATCAGTTCAAATGGTTGGTCTAAATTGGAYTCGGATTTGGTCTTCGTCATCCCAAACGGTCGAAGAGTTGAAGAGACTTTTCTTGCTTTTTTCGCTTTGTGCACTGTTGAAGACATGATTAAGTATTACAAAACTTATGMGATCTCTCAACAGCGTGCTAAGTCGTGCAGTATTCCAAGCTATGACATCACAAGATGYAATCTTTTGTCAAAACATTATTACTTCGTAATAAATAATCCAAATCCCTTTGTGAGAAACGATATAAAAGCTCTTTTGCAACGTCAAATCGGCCTAAACTAAAAATTCATATCATTTCAAGTCAGGTTTTGGGTTATTAATAAGATCTAAATCAGAAAGYTATCGCACTATACGTAGCCTAAACAAACAACAMATTGATCAGTTTCACCTCAAATCTGATTGGGTCAGGCTATATAAACTTTTCCTGAGGTAGTTGTTGGCATTGAAAACTRGATTAACTATATCAAACATTATCTGTGTTTATTGCTACCTTGGCGTAAACAAGGAATAATAGGTCGAGGTTTTTTCGTTAATGCACAGTGACAATGAAACCACAGATAGCTATCTACTGATGATTCTACTGAAATAAGTACTGGTCATAAGAACTCTGCTGAAAACAATAGATAAAGGAAAAGAGACTTTCTTTCACTCTCTACAGTCTTTTAAGTGGTAAAATGAAAAGAGTTATTAACGTTTTTGAGGTCCTTTTTAAAAACCATTGTGTAATTCAAGAGTAATTTCCTCGATGTCCTGTATGTAAATTGATCCATTAACGACCCTTGCCAAGATAATAGTCCAGATGATTACAAAACCATAGTGATACTTCATTTTATCTAAAAGCTATAGCGAGACCAAAAATTGTCATTGGAAAGAAAAGGGTTGATTGAAAAGGCCTTTGTAGATAAAAACCTTCGTCTCTAACAAGGACACGCCTTATAATATATAAAACAACTATTTGTTATAAATTTGTATTATAAAATCTAATAACGRTGTGCTATACTCACATCTTCTTAATTCCTTTTTCCTGTCCTCGTCATTYTTATCAGCAAGCCGGTTGTCTTGATTAGTATCTGCAGTAGAAATCAACCTTTCTGACTCTTCAATCAGACTATCTGGCCTAGCATTGATGCTGGAGTCGTCTTGAGTTTGATGGGAAGCATCGAATCTCTCCCTTCTTTCCATCATTTCTCGAGCTGTTTTGATGATTTCTGGTGCAATACCAGCTGCTAGAGTCCTTGGTCTTACTTTTTGAATACGTAACGCCGGATAGCGAGGCTTTTCTATCTGTTCTGCTTGGGAGAAAAGACTAAGTAATGCTGATACTGAACCTTCTCTTGGMAGCTCTCCTTCGCCCCTCTCTTTCTCAACACCATCAACGTTGGTTATTTCATCTTCTTCATCTTCTTCAGCTTTGTCTGCTGCTTTCTTCTTGATTTCTTCCATTAGTTGTCGTTGTTTTTCTTTTTGTTCTTCCATTAACTTATGCTTTCTCTCTTTTTTATCTTTTTTCTCTTGTTGTCGTTTTTCCTTATCTTTAACTTTTTCTTTGTGATCATGATCCTTCTTTTCTTTTGCTTTTTCCTTTTCAATTTTGTGTTTATCTCGTTCTTTTTTGGCTTTTTCTTCTTTTTCCTTTTTGACTTTTTCTTCCTTTTCCTTTCTTCCTTTTTCTTCTTTCTCTTTTCTTTCTCTTTCCTCTTTTTCTTTCCTTGACTTTTCTTCYTTTTCCTTCTTGGCTTTCTCTTCTTTTTCCTTCTTGGCTTTCTCTTCTTTTTCYTTCTTGGYTTTCTCTTCTTTTTCCTTTTTAGCCTTTTCTTCAGCTTTCTCTTTTTCCTTGTGTTTCTCTCTTTCCTTTCTTTCTTTCTCCTCTTTTTCTTTAAGCTTTTTCTCCTTCTTTTCCAATCCTCTTGCTTTTTCTCTTTCAGCTTCTTTTTTCTTCTCCTTGTCCCTTTCTTCCTGATCTGGAGAATGCCTCTTTCGACTGAACAAAGATCTATGTGGTGCGTCMTCTTCACCTTTCAATGAAAACTTCCTGATGATCTTTYCCGYCTTGGATGGCACTACTGCTGCTGTCGCTGCAACTTTAGTATCTTTATTAACTTTGTTCTGAATTTCTAGAGYATTCGATTTGKCTTTTCCAACTMCATCACTCGACGAGGGTACGTCATTGTCAGCTGGTTTCACAGCTGGTACATTGTCCGGTGAATATTGCCTAGCCAGAGAGAAATTGATGTCATCAAATTTTCTCATCTCGTCAGGAGAAAGAGTTCCTCCACAAATAGTGTGTGGACGACCTTCCTCTTTACTTTTGCGGGAATCTAAAATGGTCTTGGAAGTGTCGTCCTCGCAGATGAAGCGTTTCAGCATTTCTTTGACAGATGGAGGTCGAACGTTGTCACGTGATAAGTGAGGTTGTTCTTTCAAAATCGATTCTATGATATCTTGATGAGCTGAAGAACAAATAGTTTGAGAGCGTTGTTTTGAAACCTCWGAATCCTCAGTGCTGACTGAGAGTTTAAGTTTTTGTCTGGACTGTCTAACAGTATCACCAGCAGCGTTTTCTCCTGAAGAAAAAGCTTTCTCCCTCTCCAACCTGCGCAATCTCCTCCGCTCTCTCAGCTTGTCTGAAGGTTGCATATCTGATTCAGCATTTGTTTCRGTCGTGATTTCATTGCTAACAGTTATCCTGCCCACTGCCGCATCCATTGATTTAGAATAYGCCGTGTTTTGTGCTCGTCTGTACCGAGCTCTTCTCTCTTCTCTGGAAAGTTTTCTCGTTGATTGGGAATCATYGGTATCGATTTTTTTACTAACAACAGTAATTGTGTTTCCCTCAGTAGGTGTACTTATCCCGTCGAGTGTTTTGGGATCAGCAGAGGTTYSATTATCTTTACTCTCGTCAGGTTCAACGTGCAATTGTTTTTSTAAAGGCTTTGCTTCTGGCGTCTCTTCAGGTGACATCATGGATTGTCGTCCTTCGGGTGATATAGATCGTGAACGAGGAGAGCGCCTCTCCTTTTTGTCCCAAAACTTAAATCTCCTCATAACTGAACTTTTTAGGTGGTCTTTCTCAGAGTCCATATCAACYGARGTGGACCTGACCCTAAACTTTTCCGGGTATCGATCTGGACTTGCTGGCTCTGAYCTGCTACCTTCAATACTAGAACTCCTTCTTCTCATCAAGTTAAGTTTTGTTGGTAATGAGTACTTTTTCTTCAACTTTCCAGCTCCTGAAGCATCAAGTAGTTCTGTGCTTCCTTCTGATGACTCTCTGGAAATGGTCTCCTTGGAAGAGAAGTATTTACTTGGAACAGAAAACTTCTTTTTAAAAAGGCCGCCACTAGTGTCCGTATTACTTTCATTTGATGAAGACAATTTGCCAGTCAGAGAAAACTTATTGCTGGTTTCAGAAGGTGACGAGGAACCGGACCTTTGTCTTCCAAACATCTTACTAAAACCCCCTCTTTCTGGACTGTCAGTAGACTGTTTCTGTACTTGTAACCAGCTCCCCTTTCTTGACCTTTGTTCGTCTTGTTGACTTGCAATGCTCTTTTCTTCAGGTAAACTACTTTGCTTATGAATCATTGTTTTTGAAGGACTGGAGCTCGTTCTCTCTCGAACTTTGTGTTGGACATATCTGGAAGTATAGTCACTTCGAAGAGAGTAACTCCGGAGGAAAGGCGACCGACTTCCTTGTGTTGGGACAGAGCTATCAGAACTACGGCGAGTGCCTCCCTCAAATGTGTTGGTTATTTTTTGACTAAGGCGAGATATATCCTGTGCAGTTGAAACATCGGGTGAAGCTCGTCCAGAGTAASTACCAGCAAATGACATCTTATCCCTTCCAATAGATCCTGTTGAACTTTTTCTGCTTGCAGACCCACTAGATCCCCTAGAGCTGAATGAGCTACTCCTAGAACTGCTTTCATCTTTGCTACTGTCCTTTCGAAGATATAGCGGTGGTACTGAAACTGATGACCACTTATCACTTGAAGTATATTTAGGTGTGTATGTTGTAGAAGATCTGGATACACTTGGTGGACTTCTCCACCCTGATGKGTATTTTTTACTCCTATCTGTGTCTGTTTGGTGACTTTCAAAATCGTGGTAGATTGGAGATTTCTTTGAACTCGAATACTTTGGATTGTCAAAAGAATGAGTTCTTGAGAATGTAAAAGGTTGATCAGAAATATCACTTGATGTTGTAGTTCTGTACTTATTGCGAGGAGAKGATGGTTCTGTTGATGAAYGAGGTTGATAAGAACTTACTGTGCTTGAGCCTCTAATTGGCAAGTCTACAGTAGTTCGGTGGTATCTAGCACTTCCATATCGYCTGCCAAGTCCCGGTGACTCCTTATAACGTGAAGTACTGGTTTCTTCAACCATCGTCTTAGATCTTTGTCCAAGAAATTGATGCCTTCTGGAATTCTCCATAGATTCTTTTAATGAAGAATCCCTATATCTACTACTCATCGTGATCTTTGTGTAACAAAGCCTGATCAGTAGTTTCAAAACCTTGTACTTCTGAGGTCTGGGGGCATGCTTTTAGTTCATAAGATTGTCTGGTATCTGAAATGAGAAAAASCCCAATAAATATATTATTTAAAACAAGTTTTGTTGTATAACTATTATAGTAAGAAAACAAGGATATGCTAATTACTGTTTTCAATGCAATACAATATTATCATGTCAATTTTTCATTCATATTTTGTATTGTCTTTTCTTTGAAATTTGGCTTTTTATTTCCCACTGTGTTAATGGAGTGTGAATTCCTAGTGTCTAATTAAACAATGCCTTTTGTTCAACATGAAATTCCTTCATAAAATATCTTTAAAATAAAATATTAGAATATTTATTAAAATAGATGTTCATTATTTTAAAGTTGGAGCATTAATAATTTTCCAAGACATCTAAAAGTAAATATAACAGAATTGACAATATTGTGGCTGATAAACTTGATGAACTGTATCAATGTAAATCTATTCATGATCTTAAATGACAGTCTATCTTTCATGGTAAATGTAACCATCAGTCCTGTTATGTGAATATTCATAAATATATGTAAAGAGCACTGCTGTTATTCATACTGCTTAGATACTCTGTAATATTGACATTATGAATAAATTGGCTTGAAATAATAAAAGACTCCAACATAGACACAGAGCTAGCTTTTTCTGCTATTGTAGTTTGATTGATATTGGAGCATAGCTACAGTTATTGCTTTCTCATTTACAAGCATTAGAATTATTATTTTCAAAATAAGCAAGCACAACCAAATTTCATAATTTTTGGAAGATAGACTAACTGTTTTAGAATTYATCCATTCATAATTTATTGTCTAAAATCAGCAAGCATTGAAATACCTTTGTTAAAACAATATCCAGACTGTATATATAGTAGTCAATTGATACAATAGCAAAACAAAAGAACAAAGATGTAAGGCTTTTAGCTTATTCACAAGTTCCGAACCTTTTAAACATACTTTGACAGCAGACATCAAAACAGATAGACACTGTCATTTGAATAATTATCTAAAAACACTCAAATATCATCTTGAGATTTGATCAACCAYATCACTGATTTATTATCACAATTAAACAACTTCTACAATACACAATACATTGATATACAAATCATTATAATAAGTAAGGAGCTATAAACTTATGGTGTCATCTTTTCTAAAAAACAGGAGTTATTGCTCTTAGTTGCAAAAAATGCAATGCAATACTTCCTGTAATAATTAAAAACACTACTGATCCAAAAGGCTCTTGAACTTGGTGCCCTAATACTTCATTATGTCATCCAAAATAAATAACATGACTTAAACTATCTATAATAGATCAAATATTATTCAAGACATACAGATACTCTTTTATTTGATAAATACAATAATTGGCTATAAATATCAACATATCATTAACAAAACAAACGTGACATGTAAGCTATTAATGGCCCAGGGGTGGGTAGGCTTATGTACTGTTACCTGAAAAAGGCAGGAAACCATTAAAATGATTCCCTATTTCCTGTTACCTGGGAATTTTTCATAAATGGTGAAAATTTCAAGAATATTTTACAAAATAGAAAATGGTCTGTTTTCAATGATTTCGTCAAAGCTAGGGATAGATTCTGTCAACACATGTTAATAAGTGAACACCCAAAACATTGCCATGAAAAGTAGAAAATTCAAAACCCCTAAAAATGTAAATTTTTAGCTTCTCAAAAAGTCGAAAAATTTGCAAAAATGCAAATTCTGACATGGCTTTTCATCTTTTGATAATCACATTAATATATTCATAAACGATCAAAAACAGGTTTTCAAAAGCTGTCAATTTTCAGCTAGTAGTCGTGCTATCTTCATAATGATGTCGACGATTCCAGACAAAAAAGGCAATCTTTTCTATCTATCCTTCTATTATTACAAGGTGACAGCAGAGAAAAACATTGTTATGTCAACACAATATATCTGCGAATTCTTTTTGACTGAAGCGGTAGCTACTCTTGATAATAGAGTCATGGAAATATTCATATCAATATCTCGTCTTTAAATAACRCTGAGAAAAAATTCAACACGTGCATTATTGAGTTATTCTATTTTGTAAGGCTACACCAAGTCACTATTTCATATTGAATTCTGTGGGTTGAGTCTTTGTCATTCATGTGCAAGTTTCAATGCTACAGCAGCTGTCGATAAACGTGTGAAATTCAAAAAAAGAAATATTTATGGGGTCACAACGCTCATAAATTCATAAAATGCGCGTTGTCTTCGAATCCGCGGGACACGCGTCGTGTGTGATAGAGGCGTTTTCCTTCTTTAGAATATTATTAAATGTAATATATAGAAATCCACAGGCATCTATCAGTTCGAATACATTGTCTGGGCTGAATATCAAATCTCTGGTTAAAAACTCGTTTTGATCCAAGTAAATTTTTAAGGTTGTGAAGTGAAGATTATCAGAATGTGATTAAAGGAATGACAACCCGAATACAAATACCGCCAAAGCAAGAAATTCCATTCAAGCTTTGATTTCAACTAAAAACAAATTTAGCTCGATGAGTTGCCACAGTGTATCAAACAGTCTCGCCTAAGGAAAAGGTAATAACATTGAGAAGAGGCATTCTCATTTACCTGTCAAGTATTGGCGGTCTTCCTTGGTCTGTTATGGTTGGTTTCTTTGTAGTTTACGCTCCTAACGCTACTTCAGTAGCATTGTTGTGGGGAATGAAGTATGCGAAAACATACATTATTGCTCCCAAATCGCCGGCTATCCAAAACCAATCCCATCTGTACCTAGGCAAGCTTTTACAAGCGCTTTGCTTGACGAAATATTTCAATTCCAAACCAATGTCATACGAAGAATCTTCGATGGTAGAGGATAAGCGTAGGATCCGAGATCTGTTCGGATTTCTTGCTTTTACTTTTATAGACAAGATTAAGCAAACTTACTCAGCATTAGGTATAACCTTTATCGACTATAATGGCAGGTTTTCCGATGGATTCTCAGCTGTTCGGTGCAGAATGTGTTGATTTTTCACAGTRGAAAATATGGCTTATGAAGTCACGATCGTGCTGGTATTCGAGTCACGATTGATCCAATCCATCAAATTAGAGAGCTTTTTCTGGCGATTCCTCAACTCCCATATGAAAGAGCCTATACTACTAGTATAAATAAAGAGTAATTCCAAGCAGGCAATATCATAAAATCGCTTGTTTTCAATCCTCTGCTTCACTGAACATCTAAAAGCAAAGTTTTGTTTTCTGGTACAAGACCTTAGCGGGAGTGTTAGGTGATGTATTATACTACAAGCTTTCTGATTGGTTCATTCTCAATTGCTGTTARAAGTTCAATAAACAGAGGATTCTGATTGGTTAATTTATGACTGTCGTTCTTGTCAGAGTAACCTCAAACTTGACCTCTTTTAAGCGATGACAGGCAACCGAATTGTCCTCAAATAAAATAGATCTGTATATCAACAATAATAATAAATGTTTACCGGTGCTTTTTCAAGCTCTATAGTTGCTAGGCTTTATTTTCAGCATTTGAGTTAACATTTAAAGGTGCTATATATTGTCAAGCATTCCAGTCTTGTTCTGACCTCTTTAATGATGTCTTTGTTAATTTGCCGTGTAACATTTCAAGGGTTTTCACCTGAGCTTCAATGAGCCAAAACCGTCATTTAAAGCTGTCAAACTGTTTCAAAATTGTTAAATACGTATTTAATACATATTGATCCCAGCTTTTCAAAGAGGAAAAACAATAATGAAGACTCTAAGAGGGTTATGTGACATGAGAAAATGGTATTCGATCCTTTTGGAGAGAAAAAAAAAATGTAAATGAAAATAAATGCTGGCCTGTATTTGGATGAGTGGTGCTTGAGACCTCATCCGCTCTCCCTCTGTCATTATTCGTACGGCTCCTTTCTCATGCCGCATTTTGACTTTCGTCGCCGCCCTTAAAACAATACCCGATCAATTTATTTTGTAAGAAAAATTGTATTTAGTCTTGTTGTAAAGTGTTGCTTTGGTATATTGTAAGAAGGGGCAAATTATAMAGTTACCACTTAAATACAAGGGCAAGGCTCATCCCATCGTCTTTAAAGTCTTAGCAAGCAACATCATCAGATCCCCTCCCAAACGCCCAAGGGTTTCCATATAAGCCTTTTGTATGGGGACAAAACCTGCATAATCATCTTTATCTCATACAGAAAAATAATCGTCCTTACTGTCACCAGTGACAAAGTGCCAAGATAGAGAAAATGGTTTCGGTGGCCCCAGCGGAAATTTATGCCATTTCCAAATACCCACATATGCTTACTGTATCACTTTTCTAATGGCCCTTGATAGCTGTTAAGCGTGTCTTGACAAGGTTATTTATGAAATCACTTAAAAAAGAGGCTTTAATCTCATTAACAAAACTCCACCGATTCAGGCCGAATATGCCACATTCATTTGAAAACTTTTTATACGGTTTACAATCTATACGTCATAAATAAACGCTTTTCGCTTGTTTCTTTCGGCTAGAACTCGCTATATTGCCAGATGAGGGTAAAATAGATGAGAGAAACGGGTGTCGAACCGAGATGACAATACTTGAAGTGAAAAGGGTGCGCGGCAGGTACCGGCACTGATTTAGCGCAGTCAAGATAAAGATGGAAGAAATACCTACTAGACCAAACAAAATGGGGCAATTCGCATGGCTTGACAAACCAATGGTGTTGTTAATGTTGCTTGTAAGCTTGATGCTTCGTATCACAAGGTGTGTGGAATGACGACATAGAATAATGTCAATTTGGAGAACTATTATAAACGAAAGACTTTGTATCAAAATAAGTCGGAATGCGAATAATTTGAAGAAAATATTTTGATTACTAAGTTTATGTTAAGTTGTCTTTGGGYTCTGGTAGAATTCTGGAATACCTAAAAAGGTTGCGCCGATGTCCTAATAAGAWATATCAGCTACACGCCTTATTACAATCACGGCTAACTTCTATCTTATCAAGAGATTTGTTCCTTAAAAGAGACACCTTACTGATGTCCTTTTCCACGAAGTTTGCGCTACATTCCTTAACAGGAGAGAGTTACAACGATGTGTTCTGAGCTGTCAAGCTGTTATCACCAACTATATGTGGTCAAAGACAAATATTACAAGAAGCGAGGCCGTATCAAAAACTTGACGCTTATAATTATAATTCTGTATTTTTCTCTTTCTTACTCAATACACAAGAAMTTTTTAAAGAAAGAGCGTAATTTTTCTTGGCAAAAAATGTCGTGTCCAAATAAGCCATCAACCGGTGTCAAGAAAAAGGACGATGATGCTGAAGATGCCGACGAGAATGACTCAGGAGTCTATGAAATGTGGCAAGAATTTTTACACAGCCTAACACTACATGGATTTCGTTTTATCTTTGAACCCGGCCCRATATTTCGACGYATAGTTTGGCTTGGTATACTTTTATGTGCAGTGAGCATGGTCTTTAACCAAAGTAGAAAAAGTATCGGGAAATACTTGGCTTACCCCATTACAACCAGTGTGCAAGTTGAGTTTCTGGAGGAGATAACCTTTCCAGCAGTCACAATTTGTAACTTTAATTTGTTTCCTTATTATCTTATCAATGGGACAATAGGAGAAAAAGTGAGTTTCAATCAATTATAACTATGTTATTTAATACTTTGACTCTTTTCAAACATAAYGCGTATTTCTTTTTTCTAGGTCATGTCCATTCTAGCACCTCAAAAGTACATCGACAATAAAGAGGAAGTCCTTTTTGCGCGTTCTCCAATTCCGAATTTTATGAACTATCTTCGTAAGCGTCGYTCATCCAAAAAGGAAGGGACAGTCGTCACAGATGACATGCTTGACAACGAAAAAGACTTTGATTTTGATGACAAGTTCGATTTTGCAGAATTTGTTCGAACGCACGGTCACCGTATAGACCACATGATTAAAAGATGCCGATGGAAATCCCAGCCTTGTGGACCTGAAAACTTTTCCGCTGTCATCACTGAGTTTGGATTATGCTACACATTCAATTCAGGTAATTCATTGTGTAGAAGATTTTGTAACAGCTGTATTAGGATAATAGCCAAAACGTGCAAAAGTCGTTAAGTGATTAGTGCTGTTAAAGCCCAAGTTCAKTGAGTGAGTTCAGTGACGACTCACCTGTCATCGAACAGTCAATCATTCGCGATTGAATAATTGATTTCCTAACTGACAGATTGAATGTTCGATTGAGAAACTACTATTTCACCAGTAGCATGTAGCTTGTTGTGTTGCCTGACTTTAACTCTTAACTCTATTATGCCACGTATTTGTTAAAGGAAGACCAGGCCATCCATTATTRAAGGTACGGCGAGCTGGAGTAGACTATGCTTTGCGGTTACAGCTGAGTGTWCAACAGGATCAATACTACGGCTCTCTTCGAGACTCGTCAGGGTTTAAAGTTATGGTGCATGATCAAGAAGAACCACCGCTGATCAATGAGCTTGGTATTGCAATTCAGCCAGGAACTCATACTTTCTGTGGTCTTCGTAAGGAAGTGGTAACTATTTTGATCTTCATTTTTTTTAGAGATGAGTTTCGGTAGAAGCCCAAATCATGGCGCAGCCGTGCATGAAACAAGTGCGCATTGACCCCAAGCTTAAGAATTCAAATTTCCAYCAGAAACTCAGAGCCTGCGCTTTCTTCCTGGACACGGCAGAAGATTTGCCGTGTCCAGGTAGACTTTCTCATGGTCTGACAAAAAGCCGAACAGATTCTGGAGATTTGAGGAATTCCGATATAACACTTTTTGTGGAAAAATGTAGGGAGAGCGTACGTCGGCATGGATTGTGGGTTTCCTTTAAGACTCTAAACAATTAATTGTTAKTATGTTTACTGCAGATGAATAATCTTCCCAAACCGTTCAAAACCGCATGTGAAGACAAGTACTTAGAGGGATTTACTAAGTACACCAAATCTGCGTGTCTGTTAAAGTGTCGCGCTGATTATGTGATTAAGATGTGCAAGTGTCGTTCATATGATCTTAAAGGTAGAGAAATCTCCTTTAGATTAAATCGTGGTCACGTGTTGCGATGTTATCATTTCTTCTTGTCATGTTACAGGATCTGCTCCACCRTGTAGCCCAAGAGAAGTTAAAAACTGTGTTTGGCCTGCTATGGGTAAGTTCAAGTTCTGAAACAATCGTCTTAACCTGCTGAGGGTAAATCTAATGAATTCAGATGTAAATCGGGAAGACTTTCTGGTCACTAGCTTATTGAGACTGCGGTCAATTCTCAATATTTTAGGCCACGCGCTAGAAAAAAATACATCTCCAAGAAATCAGATTACTTTCTTGCCGGAACTACTGTATCACAAATCCATAMTTCTTATTTCATTCCAGAGGCTTTTCATAATGAGAGCCACAATTGTGAATGTCCTGTACCTTGTGAAATAACSAAGTACCAGCTTCAACTGTCTTATGCTCAAACTCCAGCAAAACATTTCTCTGAAGTCCTTGCTCGACGGAAACATGTCCGCAAAGATATCATGAGGCACTACCTAAGGTACGTATTCCCGGGGGAGTTAAGGGTGTTATTAGTCCACGACAGAAAATCAACCTTTCACGATAATCTTTTGCTAGGGATAACTTCCTTGAGCTTGATGTGTACTTTGAAGAGATGCAGGTCACATTGATACATCAGCGACAAGCTTATGATCAGGAAAGTCTGTTTGGTAAGGCAGAATCAGTGTTTTATGACAATATATAGGTTATTGGTACTTGTCATATGTTATTCGTAATTCACAAGCCTTATTTTTGATTGAAGCTTGATCTATTCCATAACTCATGATTTATCTCTATTGCGCATGCTCCGCATCATTTTTKAGTCCATCCCACATGACTTATAGTGTATAACTATTTTGCTGCAGGTGACATCGGTGGTCAAGTAGGGCTGTTCCTAGGAGCTAGTATACTYACTGTTCTAGAGTTCTTCGATCTCTTCTTGAGAATAATGGCTTACAAGTTGAACCTTAGAAGACACGCTCATGATGTGTAATGTAGCTTGACAATATACGGTATTCATAAATTCAYGGAACGATACCATTGGTCAGCCGACAGAACAACATCAACGCCTAGTAGTCGGCGCGTAGTATCGAGGACTTGTAATTCCAAAGGGTAATGCAA